CTTGAGCCCAGGAGTTGGAGGTTGCTGTGAGCTGTAATGCCACAGCACTCTACCCAGGGGGACAGCTTGAGGCTCTGTCTCAAAAAAAAAAAAATCTACCTTCAGAGCCAGATGGCCTGGGTTCTAATCCTAGTTCCAGCAAGATTAACCTCTGACTCAGTCTCCTCAAAACAGAAATAACCATAATTACTTGCCTCCTGGGATTGTTATCTGAATTAAACAAGCTTAATATATGTTAAAAGGATTAAAACTGGCACATGGTAAGCATCAATACTTCTAACTGCTCTTAACATACAGGCTCTTGTTAACTGCTCCCACTGGGAGGGCAACTGGAGGCTGGGGAAGGGAACTTAGCTGTGCTCTCAGGGCTTAAAGCAGAATTGGTTTTTTTGTTGTTGTTTTTGGCCGGGGCTGGGTTTAAACCTGCCACCTCCGGCATATTGGGCCAGCGCCCTACTCCTTTGAGCCACAGGTGCTGCCCAAAGCAGAGTTTTATATGGAGCAGGTGCTATTCAAACAGGATTTCACTGAACCTCTGAATCAGAGGTCTCCAACCATTTTGGCACCAGCAACCAGTCCACAGAAGACAATTTTTTGCACACACTTGGAGCGGGCAGCATTCAGGATGATTCAAGTGCATTACATCTCCCCCTCAGATCATTAGACATTAAATTCCCATAAGGAGCACAATCTAGATCCCTCACACGCACAGTTTACAGTAGGGTTTGAGCTCCTGTGAGAATCTAATGCCACAGCTGATGTGACAGGAGATGTAGCTCAGGAGGTGACGTGAGCAATGGGGAAGCTATTAACACCAATGAAGTTTTGCTAGTTCATCCACCACTCACCTCCTGCTGTGTGACCCGGTCCCTCACAGGGCACGGATACTGGTCCATGCCCCAGGAGTTGAGGACCACAGGTCTAAACCACTCAGCAAGGCAGACAGTGTTACTATCATTTTACAGAGGAAGAACCTCGGGATTAATGGGCAAGAGAAAATACCCAAAGCCACACTGCCACTGAATAGCTGAGCTAAGAACTGGACCACAATCTATCTGCCAGACTCCAAGGCCTGGGTCTTTTCACCAAGTCACAGGAAGAACAAGACCCACCAATAATATCCATTGGATTGGGCCCTCAGGAGGTATGATTTAAAAAAATTACATTTTGGGTGGTGCCTGTGGCTCAAAGGAGTAGGGGGCTGGCCCCATATGCTGGAGGTGGAGGGTTCAAACCCAGCCCCGGCCAAAAAACTGCAAAAAAAAATTTTACATTTTAAGGTATACCAAAAACCAATCTGATAGTTTATAGAATCTTGCCAATAAAAATGGAGAAAGAAATTAAAAAACCAAGCCCAAGGCTGGACATGGTGGCTTACACCTATAATCACAGCACTTTGGGAAGCTAAGGAGAGAAGATCAATTGAGGCCAGGAGTTTGAGACCAGCCTGGGAAAAAGCAAGCATCCACCTCTACAAAAAATAAAAAATTAGCTAGGCATGATGCTTTGTACCTATAATCCACACTTGGGGGGTGAGGTGGGAGGATGCTTCAAGCCAGGAATTCAAGGGTGCAGTGAGCTATGAAGCTATGTTCATACTACATCTCAACCATCACCCAGAAAATTATCATTCCCTGTCACTGAGTGAAAACACACAAGGCAGGGTGGTCAAGTGAGAACTCAGGCCAGGATGTCAATGGCCTGAGTTCTCACCTGACTCTACCTTGTGCACAACTATGGGCAGTGGGCTAAAGACACAGTTAGAAGGAACAGTAGGACTATCTTTGGAGGGTAGAGTTTGAACACAGCCCTCAAGCACTGTTTCAAGAGCTCCAGAATTTAAAGAACCAAAGAGAAGAAATGAAAAACAAAGGTTAAAAAATTTTTTTTATTGTTCTCATTACCTCAGATCATACCTGAAGGAAAAGCTCAATGTCCTGAGATGGTGGTAACAACTGTGTTCCTCTACAGGTAACATCAGCAACCTGACTGCTGAAATGCCCCTCTCACTCGGAATAATGGAAGGAATTTTCAAACCAGACGGTGCAGATGAATAAGTCTAGAAGACACTGCCTACATACCACATATAATTACTATCTGCAGTGGAGTATGACCACAATTGATACCTAGAGTCATTGTGTAACCCTTCCAAACTGACTGGAAATGAATAGAACCAACAAACCTGTGACTCTTCAGGCCCAAGGATTTCTTTGGAGGCCATTAAGCAACAAATTCAACTAGTCACAGTTACCAAAAGCAGAGTTAGAGACTTTTTGCCCCTAAAATACATTAGAAAAC